CCTGCTCATGTTGAGTTTTTCATCGACTGACGCCCACCTGCTCATGTTGAGTTTTTCATCGACTGACGCCCACAAGTCCTCCTCAGGACTGCTCTCGAGCCATTTTCTGCCCAGCCTGTATTTGTGCTTGGGAATGCTCCTACCCAGGTGCAGGACCTTGCACTTGGCCTTGTTGAACTTCATCAGGTTGACAGTAGCCCACTTCTCCAGCCTGTCCAGGTCCCTCTGGATGGCATCCCTTCCTTTCAGCATGTCAACTGCACCACCCAGCTTGGTGTCATCTGCAAACTTGTTGAGGGTGCACTCAATCCCACTGTCCATGTCACTGACAAAGACGGTGAACAGTACTGATCCCAGTACTGATCCCTGGGGAACACGCCTCGTCTCTGGTCTCAATTTGGACATTGAGCTGTTGACCACAACTCTCTTGAGTGCGACCTTTCAGCCAATTCCTTATTCAGTCAGTAGTCCATCCATCAAATCCACATTTATCCAGTTTCATGACCAGTATGTCACGCAGACAGTGTTGAACGCATTGCACAAGTCCAGGTAGATGATGTCAGTTGCTCTTCTCTTATCCACCAAAGCTGTAACTCCATCATAAAAGGCCACCAAATTGGTGAGGCATGATTTGTCCTTAGTGAAGCCGTGTTGGTTACCACCAATCACTGCATCCTCATTCCCCCTGTGCCTTAGGAGAGCCATGATCTTGCCAGGCACAGAAGTGAGACTGAGTGGGTCTTCCTTTTTCAAAATGTGGGTTATGTTTTTCCTTTTCCAGTCATCAGGAACTTCATCAGACTGTCACGACCTTTCAACTACAATGGGTAGCGGTTTGGCAAATTCATCTGCCAGTTCTCTCAGGACCCACGGATGGATGTCATCAGATTCCATGGACTTGTGCACCTTCATGTTCTTTAAGTGGTCTTGAACCTGGTCTCCACTTATAGTTGGCAGATCTTCCTTCTCCCAGTCCCTGCCTTTGTCTTCCGTAACTTGGGCAGCGCAGCAAGAGCCCTTGCCAGTGGAGACCAAGGCAAATAAGTCATTCAGCACCTCAGCCTTCTCCATGTCTCTTGTGACCAGTTCTCTGTTTTCCTTCTGGAGAGGGCTCACTTCTTCGCTAGCTTTCCTTATATCACTGATATATAGTGATGTATATCGTATACATATAGTGATAAAAGACGACCTACAGAAAGTCTTTGTGTTCTCCTTTATGTCCCTGACTAGATTTAATTCCACTTGTGCCCTAGCTTTCCTAACCTTATCTCTGGCTGTTTGGGCAACTTTGTAATCCTGCCAGCTAACCTGTCCTTGCTTCCACTCCCTATAGATTTGCCTTTTGGACCCAGTTAAGTTCAGGAGCATCTTGTTCATCCATGCAGGCCTTCTGACATTCCTGCCTGCCTGCCTTCCTTCTTCTAGAAATGCACTGCTCCTGGACTCCAAGGAGATGGTCCTTGAATATCAACCAGCTCTCTTGGGCCCCTCTTCCTTCCAAGTCTATATCCCTTGACACCTTGCTTAGCATATCCCTGAAGAGACTGAAGTTTGCTCTCCTGAAGTCCAGGGTGGTGAGCTTGCTGTGTGACCTTTTCAGTGACCTAATAAGGATCTTGAATTCCTCCTTTTCGTGGTCACTGCAGCCAAGGCTGCCCTTGAGTTTCATGTTGCTCACCAGCCCCTCCTTGCTGGTGGAGACAAGGTCCAGTAAAGGAAGGTTCATCAGAGGAAGATTATGCTGTCAGTCTGTTGGGATTTCAAAAGTATTTAGGATGAAGGGTAATGGTTTTAAACTAGAAAAGGGTATTTTTGTTTGGTATTAGGAGAAAGCTTTTTCAATATGAGGGTGATAGATCACTGGAACAGGTTGCCCAAAGAGGTGGTGGCAGCTCCATCCCTGGAGATATTCAAGGTCAGGATCCATGGGGCTCTGAGCAACCTGATCTAGTAACATTGTCCCTTTTGACTGCAGGGGGGTTGGACTAGATGGTCTTTAAAGGTCCCTTCCAACCCAATACATTGTATTATTATATGATTTTATGATTGTGTATTTTGCATTGCTTCCAAGGAACTAAATCATTAATTCAGACATGTACTGCTGTCAACTGGATAAATTAAATGATGCCATCAAACAGAAGCATCCTGCGTTGGTGAATCACAAAGGTGTTGTGCTTCTCCATGGTAACGCTAGACCACATACCAGTTTGGTCACTTGTTCAAAATGGTTGCAGCTTGGTTGGAAAGTGTTACCACATCCACTATATTCACCAGAGCTAGTACCATCAGACTACCATTTGCTTTGTTCTTTACAAAATGCCTTGAATGGTGAAACTGTCATTGCTGATGAGGATGTCAAATTAATCTTGGAACCTTATTTTGCCAAAAAAGAGAAGAACGTTTTTGAGCGTGGAATCATGAAGTTGCATGAAAGATGCCAGAGGTAATTGAACAGAATGGACAATTTATCATTTAATACAGTTTTTGTTTCCCATGAAAAATTGTCCTTTCATTTACCCAGCAATGAATGCAATTACTTTTTGGCCAACTCAATAGTTTGACTACCCTGTATGTAAATGCACTGAAATCAATACAAGAGTTTGTAGAAACAGCAAATTGAAAGTTTGAAGCGTCTTGAATGCCATCTATGCCTTCAGGGCTATGTTACACAATAGAATTTTTTTTCCTTTCTAGAAAAGGAATCTTGGATGAGTATAGTCAGATCACCAGTCTTGTAACAGAAGAGATTGTGAATGTTCATAAAGAGATCCAGACCTCCGTTGAACAGATAGACCCTAACTCTGAGTATAATGACTTCATAGATACTCACAGGTATACACTTTCACCTTGGTATACATGTTCGTGTTTCTTGTTAAGAAAACCCTGTCTTAAACTGCAACACTGCTTAAGTGGTCACAGTTGAATTTGTTTCTGTTTGATTCCGTTTACATTGTTACTTGTAGAACTTTATCCTAGTTTGAAAATGGTTCTACTTGCATGTAGAGAAATCTAGCTGAAAGCCAGGTTTTTAACCTGGTGGTTTCTTTAACCATCCATCTCTTTGGCTGTCTCTAGAAAAACTAGCAAAATTTGGGTTACCTTTATTACATGTGAAGAGCTATAACTTCAGTACTGACAGCAGACTATACATGCCAGTCTAGAGTCAGTGTGAGCTGATTTACTATTTATTTGGATGCAGTTTGCATTCTGGGCTAAACTAAGTTTCCCTGCTTTATTTCTCTTTTTGTCCAAATTCTAATTTAAAGTGAACTGTAGGTACCTTTGTGTACTCTGTAGTTACTGCAGGTTTAGCAGTACCTGAGACTACAGAGTATGCAAATAATGCAAAGAATTTTTCTACTTTAAAAATTAACTGTATTTGCCATTTATTGAACTGTTACTCTGTATTAGTAGATGCAGAAATAGTCCTAAGACTTACTGCATTCTCTTTTTTGTTGTTATCTGCGAATTAATAATTGTCACATGCAGGTTTATAACAGGATCAGCTAAGAGTCGATCCATTCATGTTGGTACCACTTGAGAACTGTGGTTATGTGGTGATCTTGATTCAAAGAATTGTATGCCATTTTGTTACCTGATATGATTTTAAGACTATTCTCTTTATTCAAAGGAAAAGAAATATGTATCCAATTTCTATATTTTATTCTATTTCATTTGTAATTTTAACTGTATTCTAGTTATTAAAATAATTCCAAGGATAATGATTTGCTTTATGATCTACTCAGATACATGTTATTTTTGAAAATACGGTATTTCTTTACTAAATTAGGTCATCAGAAGTTGTTGAACAACAAATAGAGTTTGATACATCTTTACTAGAAGAAAATGAAAATCTTCAAGCTAATGAGATCATGTGGAATAATCTAACAGCAGAAAGTTTACAAGTCATGTAAGTCTTTCTTTACAAGTTTTTCATCCTTTTAAAATGCTGTCATACATTCGGATCATCACATAGCTGTGTCTTCATTTTTGAGGTCAAGTTTCCAAAAAAGAGTATTTTTGTGCTATAGACTCTTTCCTGTGCTGGTGTTATTGTTCCTTTGCACAAAATACTCCTCCCCAGTCACTGCCAAAACTTGCTAGCACTTTCAATCTACATTACTCTCCTTACCAGTTAATTTATATAATACCCCAAATCCATCATGATTCCTCCTTCGGAACATACCAATTCTTCCTCCCAATAGTGTTTCCACATTCAGTACTCTAGGAAAAATACTGAAATCTTTTTATGAAACTAATGAGTATGGTGATTTAGTCTTTGATTTAAATTGGCATGCAGAAATTTTTCATGAATATATTTATTTCACTTGTTCTGTATGCGTTTGCTTTCATTTTCCAAAGGAAATTCTCATTCATTATTATAAGCTTTAAACTACATTAACCTACTGACACAGATGTAGCTGCTGTATTGCATTTCATGGAGCTTTTAGCTACTAAGGGTGATAAACTACCTCTCTGTATTTTGTTAATATATTGCTTACTTAATCTTTTCATTACTTTCACTAACTTAATCTTTAATCATTTGCTACTGGAGAACAAATCTCCTGCTGAGGTTATTATGTTCTTATTATATTATCAACCTCAACTTTTAACATAAAATGGTCCAATGGAGTAACTTGTCAGATTGCAACAATTAATTGTATGTTTATTTTTTTTTATATTGATCATAGCAACTTAAAATGGAAAAATCAGAATTTTATTGGTTGGTGATGTTTTGTTGTCTTTCAATTGTTGTCGTTTCAGCCTATGCTTGACTTAATTGAAGTTTGTTTTTTCCTTTAGAAGGCATAACTGATCCAAGTAAGATATCAATGGTGTGTTGTAGAGTTTTTAAAAAGGTGGTTTTTAAAAAAATTTTCATCTGCTTAATCAAACTTAATCAAACCCTTACTTCTTGTAGGGTTTTCTGAAAACTAAATCATAGTGAGTCCTATTAGCAGTGAGGTATTTAAGACATAATCACATTGCAGTGTCTTCTGCAGATTATTCTACTCCCTGTGTTTTCACAACATGACAGAATCTCTGGATTTTATTAACTCCTTTTCAAGATCATTAATAACTCTTTCTTTTTTACTGTGCAATCTGATTACTTTTCATAAATTTATTCCTTAACAGGCATTGAAATAACCTTTTTAATATGAAGTTTCAGCCTCCTTTGTCATACTCCTCCTTTGTCCTGAAACAACTTCATCTTGTGAAAATATCCCTTGATAATTAAAGCCCCTCCCTCCCTTCCCCTTAAATATGTTTCTGTTTATAATATATTCTGCATCATTACTAAGTTGAGATTTTTCCTGCTTAAACTTCGTAAATGTTGTACGTCTAGAGTCTCCCTTTTAAGTAAAGTATTACAGTTTTTCAAATATTCTGCCTTTCATAGCTCAAAAAGAGAAATAACTTATTTGACTTGTCTTCTGTATCCCTTTGTTTAGAAACAAGACATGAGCATGTCTGTGAGAGAGTAAATGATTCTGATGAAATGCATATTTGTGTTTATAAATGTGTCTGCATATCTATCTACATATATAC